ACACAATTAACTGTCCCTTTTTCCGCTTGTTACAACTTGTAATAAAGTTGCTACACCTTGGTATAACGTTTTTATGACGTATTAGAACGTTGTTACAACTTGTTAGGTGTTAAAACTTGTTCGGACGTTGTAGCGACGCCGTATTTTGGTCATGTGTTAGGAGGGTAGGGGTCAACCCCGACCCCCTACAACACTCCTCTATCATAACTCACTATGGAAAGTTGCGTGAGGCTAACCGCAAGCGTCTGACCTCCGACCTCTTACAGACGATCTTCTGTTACAGATGTAAGAAGGCAGTTGGCTCCATGTGTGCGGATAGTAATGGTTGTCACCTTTAATGTACCTACCTTGAGGTGCTTCCGGGGCTTAGTGTCCCCGCGGCCCGGTCGTCGACCAGGCCTCATGGATTAAATGGATGTAGCATGGATTAAATGTGTAAAAGAAAATTCTAAAATGGCAGATTTTTAAAACTGATTTTGCTGAATTAAGGAATATCTTGGGAAGGAATATGGAATATCTGAACGATGGAATATCTTCCTATATCTTGGGAATATGGGAAGTTAACTGTTCTTGTAACGTGTGGTGAATATGACAGTCGGTGACGTAGCAAGGGATTACGATGTAGAATCAAATTATAACTTATTTAACAATATTTTTAGCCAAACCCAGGACCGTAGTATACCATGTATATTGATTAGTGCTTAACTTTACCCATGAACGTCCTGTCCTCGATGAGTTATCTTGAGTTATCCTGATGATTTCGGGGCTTAGCGTCCCCGCGGCCCGATCCTCGACTAGGCCTCCTGTTTGTTACACATCCCCAGGAAGCAGCCCGTAGCAGCTGTCTAACTCCCAGGTACCTATTTACTGCTAGGTAACAGGGGCATCAGGGTGAAAGATACATTTTGCCCATTTGTCTCTGCCTGCACCGGGGATCGAACCCGGGACCTCAGGACTACGAATCCGAAGCGCTGTCTACCCAGCTGTCAGGCGCCTGAGTACGTGAGAACCCATGACAACACCTTCATGACGCTAGTTTATACTAAACCTTCCAACATTGGAGTGAGTATCAGTGACGACAGCGAATGTCCAGACAGATATTAGACTAGTGCGATAAGCTCACGTATACGCAGAGCCTTTACACATTGTTGTGACTGGCATAACAGACATAAAGAACTAGACAGAAACCTTAAAGCATTAATAAACAACGGATAAATGAATAGAGAAATCGACACCATAGCTTAAGATATTTAGAAGAATGGTACAAGAGAGAACAATAACAACAACATCAAACAGTCACTCCCATGAAACTCTTGATATGAGTCCACTATGAGATCACAATATAAAACGGAAGATAAAATAATTAAAAATATAATTTCAAATGAAGTGAAACCGACAGCCCCAGACCAAAGATTGGATTTAATTATTTACGACAAAACGAAAAGGACTGCTGATTAAATACTCAAGAATATCTCCAATAAACGATACAACACACTCCAAACGGCCAACATCGTATACCAGTTTACACGCCCCAATGATGTCATTTTAGGTCCACTTATATTGGTATGACCACCACAAAGCTTTCGTGAAGACTGACCTGCCACCTGCTGCCCCTAGACACCATACACAAAATATACAACACTCACTAGGAACATGCTAGTAGATAATACAACAATCCTGGCATCCACCACTGACCAGAGAACACTGCAAATCCTGGAAGCTAAACTTATAAGAGAAAAAGGACATTGGGGTTGTTTTTATCATTTGCCATTTCATACAGAAGAGGGGAAAGTGGGGCTTGGGGTCGACCTTGACCCGCTTCCTACTGTCCTCGGACAACTATACTGATCCTGTCAAGATGTCCGTGGATAAAGCCAAGCATATGGCTTCCTAACTTAAAGAAACACACGAACCAACATTGCTTTTTATAGATACAAAGTTGATGGGGTATACCCAGCGCTTTCCGGGTCGACCCGGGATAACCCCACTCCCCCAAACCTCCCAACCTCCCAAAGAAAAACATGAGAAACTATAATAAATGGGAACATGTACGGCATCCAACACATCCTTTTTCTCTTACATAATATCTATGTCTCTGTATCTCCTCTCTCTCTCTCTCTCTCACTCTCTCTCTCTCTCTCTCTCTCTCTCTCTCTCTCTCTCTCTCTCTCTCTCTCTCTCTCACTTTCAGTAAAAATACTAAACATCACAATTTACCTTCAACAAGACAAATTAATTCCGATTCAAAGGTTCAGCTGAGGCGCCTCCATATATCCTTCCTCAATACTTACTCCCTCCCCAAGCTCCACGGGCCTGTCCCTCCGCACGCTCCACGTGTGGATTAGGGTATGAAGATGTTTGCAGTTCAGATGTCGGTGTGCATTGACGATGAGTATAATGTTTGGGAAAAACGGGGGAGAAGGGAGTGATATGTGTTTGGAGAGACAGTGTTAGTGTGTGGTGATGGGGGGGGGGGAGGGATGGGGGAGAAAATGGGGTGGGTGTGTTTGGGGGAGACCTGGCACAGGGTCGACCCAAGAACTGCTGGGTACCATATAATGTATATAACATTATGAATATATATGTAATGTAAATGCCGCTGTATAATACACACAGTCCGCTCAAGTTCGTAAAGAAGTCGTTGGGAGTGGGACGCCCCCTGAGTGGACGTGGCCAGAGGACGAGTTGCTGGTTGATATCCATTGGAAGTCAGTTTAGCGATATCTGTGTTGTAGTGTCCAGTGTTAAGAGTGCAATAGGGGGGTTCTATGCCACCCGAAACCCTTCACATGGCGTCTTCTGTATGCACATTGACACCTTCTTGCCGGTACCTGCCCGGAAATGCTTGATACTGCTTACCTAAACATTTATTCAGATTTCACGCTTAGTTTTACAAATGAGGTGGAGAGTGAAGGGAAACTTGCTTTCTTGGAAGTAACAGTCTGGGAAAGGAATGGATGTTTCTACTCTTCAGAATATACCATTGAAACAAACATGGAAATTACGTGCAGACGATGAGTTACAATAACGTGGCTGAAGATATGATGACCAAATTACACATCAGGAAGTGAGGCAACGACGGCCGTCCTGGACCGGCCAGGACGGTCCGTCTTTTTATGGTCCGTCGTGGACCATTACATGGCTTGATAATGGTTCAGGACGGACCGAAACTTCGTCGTTTCTTCACTTTGTGATGTGCGGTTTAGTCATCATAGAAATACGTCTTAATGCTAGCAGGGGGGATTACCTTTCTAGTACGAGTGAGGCATTGTTGATGCTTACGTTAGTCCGTGTTCATTCGCGCAGCTCCTGTTCCAGCCAGGTTGACGTGAAACAGTAGAACTAGACGGATCCTTGAAAACAACTGATAAAATGCAATGGTAGTATGGAAGAGTTCACCAACGGGAGGGTGAAACGCTATGCTACCTCTCCTGAAGAGGTCAGCACAACGGAACCTGTCCCGCCACCTGACCGAAATTTCGAAAATGTAACCTCTATTCATCGGCCCAAAAGAAGAGAAAGTGTCCTGAAAGAAATAATTGACTGAAACGTAAATCATATCAACACTTTACAGAGCACGACTTGAATGGTATGGAAGTTGTTAACGTCTTTACATACCCACTTGGGTACTGTCAGCTCCAATTATGCCAAATTATACATTTAACACAATATCATATATTTCAAGGTAGGTCAAAGGCTCGGTCAAAGATCCTATTATTTCAAGACCATCACCAGGGATAACATGACCAACAACATCAATGAAAGAGATACACCTACATTAGATGAATAGAAATAGGCAAAGCATTTGCTATAAACATTCTTATCTATCAACAGCAGGCGTGTCGTACCATTCACTAAACCAAGACACAGCTACCAGTTTACACCACACTTACTGCCTCACTAAAGGGTTCATACCTCAACTCGATTAGTCCCTGCATGCAAGTATACTGCTATCTCTATTTGTATTCCCATTCCTTTTGACCCCAAGATGGTAAAGATTGTCATTATATCCCACACATAATTCTGGAGTTTTTTTAACACTTCCAGAATATTCAGTTGAGGCATTAATCAACATGTGTGACCAAATTCGGAGTTGAGGCATCAGTTATTTATATTTATACAAGTGTTCTTACATTCTTGTACAGCCACTAGCACGCGTAGCGTTTCGGGCAAGTCCTTAATCCTATGGTCCCTGGAATACGATCCCGACAAATCGTTTCGTTATGTTTCAACAGTCACTTGGTAGTGTCCTTCACTGGGTATTATATTGATGTTGGTTGTTGGACGATGTTCTGTCACGGGTCGCTTGATGATATTCTACAACTGGTCACTGTCATTTGATTTCCCTGATGGTGATGTCCTTAAGAGTGATGGACGGCGGGTCTTTATAAACTGGTCAATGGACGGTGGTGTACTTCTATTGATCTCTGTAAGGCGTTCTTCTATTGGTGGCCTGACGTTGGCATTCTCCCGCAGGTCGTTGCAAGTTGGCATCTTTCCACTGGTTGCTGGAGGTGTTCCACCACACTTGCAGGGGAACACCCCTGGTGCGCCCCGATAACAAATAACTTTCCTAGTATGTGTAGACACATCGTGATTGGAGGAGTTAAGTTTGTGTCCCTAAACTGGTCGATGGACGATGGTGTTCTTTCATTAATCGCTGGAAAGAGTCCTTCTGTTGGTCACTGGGCGATGATATCCTTCAACTGGTCGTAGGACGTTGGTATCCTGTAACTGGTCGTTGGACGTTGGTATTCTTCAACTGGTTGCTGGGCAGCAGTATCCTTCAAGTGGTTGTTGGGCAGTGGTATCTTTCCACTGGTCGATGGACGTTGGTGTTCTTCCACTGGTCGCTGACGTTGTATCATTCTACTGGTCGCTGGACCAGTAGAATGATACAACCTTCTAGTGGTTGCTGGGCGGTGTTCTATCACAGGTGCAGGAGCTGGGAAAACCCTTGAGGTACCCTGATTACAAATCACTTCCCCACAATGTTTAGATACATGGTGCTTGGAGGCGATAATCCAGTTCACACCAGCTGGGGGTAAGGTCTGACCACTGGAGTCAAGAGGCAGAGTTGAGGCGGACGTTCTGGGCTGGAGGAGCGGCAGTGGTGCAGCGGACACCGTCAAGGCAGGAAGACCCTCTGTGAGTTGTGTGTGTGTGTGGGGCCGCCGTGAGGGTGACTGGGGTCGTGGAGCGCTCCAGGGCTTCTCAAGCTTGCCTGCTCTGTCGTAACAAGAATCTTGAACTTGAACTTCATTATCTTCTTTTTATGTTAATACGTTCAATCGCTTTAGTGTAATTCCATGCATTTCACGTTAGAGTTTAAGAGTCTGAATATTTATGTTTCACAAATATTTGATCATAATCTCAATGTAGCTTTATTTTGATCAGTTGTGAGCCGAAGATAACAAACGACGTTACAGATTATCGACAACCATTTGATCACTCGTAACAGTGTACACAAACCACAAATTTGGTTGAAAATTCAATATTTTTATTCTTCCTTTTAAACTGAAGTTAGATGTTTCTGATGCTCCCAAAACGAGTACCTTAGGTTACCTTGAGATGGTTTCGGGGCTTAGCGTCCCCGCTGCCCGGTCCTCGACCAGGACTCTTTGTTGCTGAACTGGTCAACCAGGCTGTTGGACACGGCTGCCCGCAGCCTGACGTATGAGTCACAGCCTGGTTAATCAACGTATCCAGTGGTTCTTTGGTATCACCTTACCAACGGTTCTCGGTCAAGAAAACCAGTTGGGGGCCCTTGGTGTCCTTGACGTATGATAGGACGTGCCGTGTTGCCCAACCAAGCCTGTGACCAGTCGAGAGTTTTCCTACTATCGCAGCCTGACCTCAGGCTAACGATAGATCTTCACAACCCCCCCTCCCCCCTTTTTCTTTAAGAAAATGGGAACTATTTTATTTTTGTTAATATTTTACACTGCTAGACTCCTCCCACGGGCAGACTATCCATATGTCAATGGTAGATTTTTTTTATACGAGAGAAATAGACGGAGCCGGGCGTTCTGAGACGGGCGTTTAGAGACATTTTGATTGACGTTCAGAGACAGACATTCAGAGATAATCGTTCAGGGACAGACGTTCAGGGAAAGACGTTCAGAGAGACAGACATTAAGAGACAGACGTTCAAAGACAGACAGACTGGGTATAACCCGGTTAAAAAGAGAAAGAACAACAAACAGAATAACAGACAACAACACAGAGAAAGAGAAACAGTCAGACAGTTGGAGACAGAGACAGGAAGGGAAGAACAGAGAGGGATGGATGTTTGAAGAGAGGGAAGGAGAGACTGTGAAAAAGGGTAGAAGGTGGAGCTGTGAGAGTGTAGGTGGAGATTAGGAGAGAGGGGCGAGAACTGTGAGAGGGTGAGAGTGGCAAAAGAAAGATGGAGAGGGAAGGAGAGAAGAGGGGTGAGAAGGGACGAGGTTGAATGGGGGGGAAGGCGAGATGGGAAGAAACCGGGGATAGAAAAAATATATAATATAATGGAAAGCCTCATCATTCCACAAGAAAAAACATTAGATATATACATAATTTCAGGAAACTCAGCTTGTTATTCAAATGGGGCCTTTTATACTGGCCCAAGTGGTTCGTTCTGTCTATTAGGTACAACGTATATATAATATCTCGGTATAACTTTGACCTCTCAGTGGACTCGAACCCAGGCCGCCTAGGGGTCTCCACACCAACACTACTTTGACCACTACAGCAGCGATCGTCTACAAGTGTTGATTGGTCAAGGAACATATCCGCACAAGTTTCATAACCAACCAGCACCCGACGACACTCGTGGCGCGTCATGAAACATGCTCTTGGTGGCGATCCTGGGTTGGAATCCTCTGAGGGGTCATAGTTAAACTCCACGGAGATGAGACCGGCTCCGTTTATATCGTCAGGGTCAGGGTCAAGGTCTGTCAAGCCGATGACAGGTCACTCTGGTTAAAGTAGGAAAAGAGAAATAAAAGGAAACATATATCTTAAACAAAGACTTAATCGTCGAGGCCACACCAGGTCCAGCCGTTACAAGGGACTACACTTACACCAGCCTCACGTAGGGAGGAGGATCAGGACACTAAGATCAGATAGGCGCTTACACATTAATGTTCTGTATTAACTCTCCTTAATGTTTCTCGCAATAGGAAGTCATAGTGGCAAGCGCAGCACAAGATGAGGCTGAGGTCATGGCTGCTGGTGGCGGCCCTGGGGACTCTGGTGGCCTCCCTGCAGGCTCAAGAAGACTCGTCTGATGTCCCTGAAGAGCTGCACGGCACCAGAGTGGCCCGTCAACTTGCCCGGCGTCGACAGAGCCGTCAGCGCTTTCAAGGTTGGTATATTGCTGTCAGTTGGATCAGTGGGAAGGGCTGCTGAGAGCTGTGGCAGAGTTGTTGCAGTGATTGTTCTTGCTGCTATGGTTGGGGAGGCAGGGATGCTGCAGAGATCTGGCATGGTTGGTGTGGCAGGGATGCTGTAGAGATCTGGCATGGTTGGTGTGGCAGGGATGCTGCAGAGATCTGGTATGGTTGGTGTGGCAGGGATGCTGTAGAGATCTGGCATGATTGGTCTGGCAGGGATGCTGCAGAGATCTGGCATGGTTGGTCTGGCAGGGATGCTGTAGAGATCTGGCATGATTGGTCTGGCAGGGATGCTGCAGAGATCTGGCATGGCTGGTCTGGCAGGGATGCTGCAGAGATCTGGCATGATTGGTCTGGCAGGGATGCTGTAGAGATCTGGCATGATTGGTCTGGCAGGGATGCTGCAGAGATCTGGCATGGCTGGTGTGGCAGGGATGCTGCAGAGATCTGGCATGATTGGTGTGGCAGGGATGCTGTAGAGATCTGACATGATTGGTGTGGCAGGGATGCTGTAGAGATCTGGCATGGTTGGGCTGGCAGGGATGCTGTAGAGATCTGGCATGATTGGTGTGGCAGGGATGCTGCAGAGATCTAGCATGGTCTGGCAGGGATGCTGTAAAGATCTGGCATGATTGGTGTGGCAGGGATGCTGCAGAGATCTGGCATGATTGGTCTGGCAGGGATGCTGTAGAGATCTGGCATGATTGGTCTGGCAAGGATGCTGTAGAGATCTGGCATGATTGGTCTGGCAGGGATGCTGTAGAGATCTGGCATGGTTGGTCTGGCAGGGATGCTGTAAAGATCTGGCATGATTGGTGTGGCAGGGATGCTGCAGAGATCTGGCATGATTGGTGTGGCAGGGATGCTGTAGAGATCTGGCATGATTGGTCTGGCAGGGACGCTGGAGAGGTCAGGGAAGGTGGGTGTGGCAGGGGTGGTGGAGAGGTCAGGGAAGGTGGGTGTGGCAGGGACGCTGGAGAGGTCAGGGAAGGTGGGTGTGGCAGGGACGCTGGAGAGGTCAGGGAAGGTGGGTGTGGCAGGGGTGGTGGAGAGGTCAGGGAAGGTGGGTGTGGCAGGGACGCTGGAGAGGTCAGGGAAGGTGGGTGTGGCAGGGACGCTGGAGAGGTCAGGGAAGGTGGGTGTGGCAGGGGTGGTGGAGAGGTCAGGGAAGGTGGGTGTGGCAGGGGGGGTGGAGAGGTCAGGGAAGGTGGGTGTGGCAGGGGTGGTGGAGAGGTCAGGGAAGGTGGGTGTGGCAGGGACGCTGGAGAGGTCAGGGAAGGTGGGTGTGGCAGGGGGGGTGGAGAGGTCAGGGAAGGTGGGTGTGGCAGGGGTGGTGGAGAGGTCAGGGAAGGTGGGTGTGGCAGGGGGGGTGGAGAGGTCAGGGAAGGTGGGTGTGGCAGGGGTGGTGGAGAGGTCAGGGAAGGTGGGTGTGGCAGGGGGGGTGGAGAGGTCAGGGAAGGTGGGTGTGGCAGGGGTGGTGGAGAGGTCAGGGAAGGTGGGTGTGGCAGGGGGGTGGAGAGGTCAGGGAAGGTGGGTGTGGCAGGGGTGGTGGAGAGGTCAGGGAAGGTTGGTGTGGCAGGGGGGGTGGAGAGGTCAGGGAAGGTGGGTGTGGCAGGGGGGGTGGAGAGGTCAGGGAAGGTGGGTGTGGCAGGGACGCTGGAGAGGTCAGGGAAGGTGGGTGTGGCAGGGACGCTGGAGAGGTCAGGGAAGGTGGGTGTGGCAGGGGTGGTGGAGAGGTCAGGGAAGGTGGGTGTGGCAGGGGGGGTGGAGAGGTCAGGGAAGGTGGGTGTGGCAGGGGGGGTGGAGAGGTCAGGGAAGGTGGGTGTGGCAGGGGTGGTGGAGAGGTCAGGGAAGGTGGGTGTGGCAGGGGGGGTGGAGAGGTCAGGGAAGGTGGGTGTGGCAGGGGTGGTGGAGAGGTCAGGGAAGGTGGGTGTGGCAGGGACGCTGGAGAGGTCAGGGAAGGTGGGTGTGGCAGGGGTGGTGGAGAGGTCAGGGAAGGTGGGTGTGGCAGGGGGGGTGGAGAGGTCAGGGAAGGTGGGTGTGGCAGGGGGGGTGGAGAGGTCAGGGAAGGTGGGTGTGGCAGGGGTGGTGGAGAGGTCAGGGAAGGTGGGTGTGGCAGGGGTGGTGGAGAGGTCAGGGAAGGTGGGTGTGGCAGGGGTGGTGGAGAGGTCAGGGAAGGTGGGTGTGGCAGGGGGGGTGGAGAGGTCAGGGAAGGTGGGTGTGGCAGGGGGGGTGGAGAGGTCAGGGAAGGTGGGTGTGGCAGGGGTGGTGGAGAGGTCAGGGAAGGTGGCTGAGGCAAGGGATGACTCGGATAAGTTCAGTCCCCCCGCCGCACGTCTGTTGATATAACGTTGTGTGTTTTATTAAGTGTTTGTTCACCGTTACGGGAAGAGCAGCACTTGGCCAAGTACAATACTTGTCTCTTGTTTGTATATTACAGATAAACTTTCCTATTTCGTCATGTAATTAGAAATCTTGATGAAATTTTGGATTATAATGCTCTTGTGTAGGACTAATATACTTTTCTCAAAGTACTGTGACTGCCGTTATACAGCAATATGATGTTTACGAACATTTATTCCGTGTCTACGGGGTCAGGCCCAAGAACAAATGAAAAATGACTTTTGTACATAAAAGGATTAACAAAAATATTTTTGCTAATGTATCGTTTTTGGCGCCTTTTAAGAACATGACACGATTGTAAGAGTAGGAAGAAATGATACTGATGAGCTGGGACTTGAAGGTTGACCTTTGAATACAGAACAGTAGCTGTACATGAATAGTGAGGCGTGTGCCAATATGGCGCCGTTTAGCTTTTTTTTTCGGCTGCACCGTTTTGGCATACAACTTTTTCTGTGAACCTCAGCGACTGCACCGTTTTGGCATAGTAAATGTTTCCGTCACTCTCGACGGCTCCTTACCGTCAACCCTAATTTTAGACGAGTGACGTTATCAGCCAGTCTTAATCCTCCCTAAATCCCAATGAACTTCAATCAATCCGCTTTCAATGATTGCATAATTAATCCCTTTTTGAAGGATTGCATTTTTATTCCTATTTTCAAAGAGTGTTTATTTCTGCCATAGTTAAGGATTACTTAATAAACATAAGAATGAAAGAAGATGCCTATTGGTCCATACAGCATCTCCTATTTATTTCCGCCCATACTCATAGTGCATGTGAACTATCGAACCCGTGTTATAGGGAATCCCAGACACCTTCCCTAACCGACTCGGCCATGATGGTACAAAAGCCAACCAACCCAGAACTCTTCTGAATTTTCTGATTGGTTATGGAGGCCCAGAGCCCAACCAGGGTTTTATCATGGTTGGGCTCCAAGTGAACCTCCCAGTGAATGCAGTAATATATATATATAATATATGTATATAAATATATATATATATATATATGTATATAAATATATATATAATATATACATAATATATATATAATAAATAATATATATACATATATAAATGCATCTTTACGTATGTTTTATGACAGCAAGATTTATATACACTGGAGCTCTTAAAGGATATTATACTCTTCTTGTACCTAACCTGTCTGGATCTTTGTTCACTATTGCAACTATATTGTTAGGAAAGTGTTTATTTAAACATCAACCCAACCACCATGGATCTAACCTCTGTTACATTATATTTGAGTGGATTTTTTTTGGTGTGTGTGTGTGGGGGGGGGGGAGGGGGAGGGAATAGGCATCAAGTCAACTGCCTTTAACCTAACCTCTGATACGAGGATTTTGGGTTAATATTGCATCATATTCTTAACAATGATTTATTTTTATACATTGGTCTTACATAAATATTCTTAACAATGTTTTATTTTTATACATTGGTCTTACATAAATACAAATCACCCGTATGGGTATATATATCCCACTGTCCACCCTCCTCCCCCTCCCCCCAACCACCTAAGCTCGAAATTATGGTTTATATTTTAGGTATATATTGCTTATCTCATATTATCTAAATTTACCGCAATTTAACCTATTTTATCACATCCAAAATTATCCTCATTTACCCCAACATAGAAATGTAGGATTTCTTATAAATTTGTGTGTGTGAGGCAACTTATAACCGGGTGCTGAAGAAAATTATGATGGGCTGAATATAATGTCTGCCAATAATATATTCTTAATCCTAAAAATATACCATAATTTCGAGCTTAGTTGGGGGGGGGGGGGCATATAAATCTAGTTATAGGTGGTTTGTACAGATGTCAGACCAATTTCCAAAAACTGAAACATAGATAAGAATACGACACAGTATTGAACCAAGATCCTGGTATCAGAGGTTGGGTTCAGGGTGGTAGAGTTACAAAGATCCAGCTGGGTTACGTACTGGGTACCTGAGTTGACGTTGGCTAAATTACTTTCCTAAGAATATGTTGTATTAGACGTTAAGTCCAGGGTGGTTGAGTTTAAGAATATATTTGCAAAAGTGAACTCTACTCCTTAGTGCATTGGATATTTATAATAGACATTAACATCTCTAATAGTCAAATTCAGCTTTGGTCATAACATTATTAGTTAAATTTAGCAGAAATTAGCTTTGGTTACTATAATTTGGGTTAAATTTTGTTGGATTTTACTTAAATTAGGTAGGAATAGATTAAATGTGTTTTACATTTAGTAAAATTTTGCCTTGGTTGCGTTTGGTTAAGCTAGAATAGGTTGATGTTGAGTTAGGGTAAGTTAGGATGGACCGATGTTAAAAAACATCACCTTTCCTAAGAATGTTGTATTAGAGGCTGGACATAACACTGACAGTGGGGGGAATTGTATGAAGAATGGGGGCAAGCTGTCAAGGGTCTAGATGTTGAAAATAGTTAGACAGGCACAGCAGAAACAGCGAGAAATGGTCTCGAGAATGGGTAGACAGTGTGACGACTGGACGTTGGACATGACTGAGTGAAATTGTATTAAGAATGGGTTTGTTATAGGAGGAGACTCGT